CCGTTTATTCCCAGGAGGGAAAGGGCTTCCCCCACTCCAAAAAACAGGGAAAGGCAACGGGACCGGGAGTTTCTCCTGGGGGGGATGGAGATGGGGAGGCCGCGAATCCCTTTCCCGTCCCTGTTTCTCACGGAGGCGACCCGGAGGCTGGAGGGGAACCTCAGGGGTGGGGATGGGGGTTCCCCTTTGCTCCCCCGGAGTCCTTAATCTTGGCTGTCTCACTTTTTTCCCCTCAGGACCTGCTCCAGGATGTCGGGGACACTTGGTGGCATTATCACCCTTGTGGTAGTTGTTATACAGCCAGCACCTGTGATTTTGCAAATAGCAGGCCCAGGTCTTTTGTGGATTTGTCGCAATGTCCAGAGGAGGGGCCTCTATCATCATGGACGACCGATGGTCCCTCCAAGTCCTTTTCTCTGGGCCTCTCTGACCACGGCCACGCCAAGGAGTGTGAACCGCCTTTCGTGAGACCCCCCCCGGCTGCCTCCATCTCCTCATCGCTCTGACATGGTCTCCTGGTCCCTTTGCTGCTCTCCGTTCTTCCTTCCTTTGGCTTTTGAACCCGGATCCGCCTTCAGGATCATCCTGAACTCACCCAGTCACCTTCCACCAACCTTCAAGTCCCGGGCAGAGAAATCCGATGCCAGAGGCTTAATTGGTCCCTGGAGGAAGAGGCGCCCGAGGACACTCCGTGGGGCGCACACCCTCCGTCCTTCCCTCCTGCTCTCCCTCCTGGCCTGCTTTTGCCCAACGCTGTACGTATAAGACGTCCCCCTGCTTTCCACGAGATCTCTGTGGTTTTCCCTCTGAATCTTCTCCGGCTTCTTCCTTCTTATTAAAGCTCAACTTCCAGCATCACAGAACCGCCTCCCGTGGTTTTGTCTCCCCAAAACCCAGGGACACCCCTACCTGACCGCCATGCCCTGGGGAAACCTCTCCCCCCACCCACTGACAACAAGCCCTGGGGAATGGTGGGGGGAGAGGGATCATGTGTAACCCTTTCCTTTGGGTCAGCACCACCCGGGGACACCCGGCCGGTCACGGGCCCTTCCCTTCTGCCCATTCCCTTGGCAAGAAAGGACCGCGATTGCTCAAGGCAAGCAAAGGGAATTCAAAGAAGAATCGTAAACTCGGGCCGAGATTGAATTTAGCCTGCTTAGACCCCCACCCACCCCAGTGAACTCTCAGGAGGAGGGGAGGAGGGAGCCCCCCCTTTTCCCTTCCATGCCTCTCCCTGCCCTGGACCCAGACACGGGTGTTGTGGAGAGAGTGACAGATTGGGACTCTAGGGAACATTGTTTAAATCCACAGCTCGGCCAGGGAAACTCTCTGGGGGAGAGGAACGGGTGAAGCCCCTCCTTGGAGATCAAACTTGCCCTGAAAGTCCCATCAGGGTGACTATAAGCGGGTTTCCACTTGAGAGCAGATAATGGCCACCCCTCCCCTACCACCACCAGCTGCCTGAAAGAAAGGCAATTGTTTTGAAGCCCCCGGGGTTGAGGCTTTGAGGAGACCGTGAGCGAGGAGGGCCTCCCAACCGCAGCTGCCTCCTTCCCTGTTGGATTTCACCCCATCTACCCTCGCTGGCGCCAACCTCATTGCTCCTCGGATGGCTCCTTTCTTGTTCAAACAGGGCAGGGCTCGGAGGGGAGTTGGGATCCGCCTTGGATCAGGTCCATCTTGTCCACATCCCGTGTTCCTTCTTGAGGGCTGAGGGTGTTGCCTTTCCTCCATCCAGCTTCTGAGCCACCTGCTCAGAGGAGGTGTCTTCCCTGCCTTCTGGGGCTTTTCGAGCCCTCCCCTCTTCCTCTCACCCCATAATTGAAAAGGACGCCCTGGCAACTTGCCTGAGATGGAGCCTGGCTTGGGAGGGGAATTGCCTCCAAGGCCATCCTTGACACGCCTACGACGGTCCTTTTAAAAAGCAGAAAAAAAGAGGACAGGAAATGCCTAAAAACCCATTGAGAGGAACAGAAAAATGAGCCAAGGGGAAGCCTTTCCATGAGGTCTCAAGACACCTGTCGTGACCCTAAGTATTTGGAGAAGGGCAGAGACCGTGTGGGACCCTCCACGTTGGCGTCAGGACACGGAGATGCCCTCCAAGAAGGGAGGAGTGATTAGCCTTGTCCTGTACTTAACGAAATTGGTACCCTCCACTTGGTCCACCCCCTCCGTGGGATAAGAGCGAATCGTATAAAACTCTCCCCATCTCTGGCATCTCCAGCATCGCCTTCGGACTCCTTTCGGCTTCTGCTGTTCGGCTTCTTCCGGCCTTGGTAAGTCAGCTTCCCAAATTGGTTTTGAAATGTGGAAAGTCTGCCAGATGGATGTAC